CTCTAACCCCAAACCCATCACTCCTCTCTAATCCCTACCCCTCTTTTTCCCCTAACCCCATACCTCTCTTTTCCTCTCTAAACCCCTACCCCTTTTCTCCTCCAAAAACCCTTTCCCCTCTTCTCCTTTTCAAACCCCTCCCCCCTTCTCCTTTCTACCCACCCCCTCTTCTCCCTTTCAACCCATCCTCTCTTTTCCCTCTTCCCTTCCCCCCTCTAAAATTTCCCTACCTCTCTTCTCCCTCTATCCTACCCCTCCTTTTTCCCCCTTTTCACCCATACCCCTTTTTCTTCTCCTCTCAAACCCAACCCCTTTTTCTCCTCCCTAACCCATACCTCTCCTTTTTTCCTTTCTAAAAACCCTACATCCTTCTACCAAAACCCCTCAACCCTACCCCTCTTCTCCCTCTAATCCATCCTCTCTTCTCCTCTCTAATCCTACCTCCTTCCCTCTCTAAACCCTAAATTTTCTTCTCCTCTCTAAATCCCTTTCCTCTCTTTTTCCTCTCTAAACCATACCTCTCTAAAACCATACCTCTTTTCCATTTCTAAACCCCTACCTCTCTTCTCCTCTCTAACCCATACCTCTCTTCTCCTCCTAACCCCCAAACCCCCCTTTTCCTTTTTCCTTCTAACCCTACCTCTCTTTTCCCCCTTTCTAAACCCATACCCTTTTTCCTTCTAACCAAAAACCCCTCTTCTCCTTTCTAAACCCAAAAACCCCCTTCTTCCCTTTTCCTCCTTCCCTCCCCTAATCCCTACCTCTCTTCTCCCTCTAAACCATACCTCTCTTCTCCCTCTAACCCCTAAACCCCTCTTCTCCTCTCTAAAACCCCCCCCTCTTTTTCCTCTCTAAACCCTACCCTCTTCTCCCCCTAAATCTCCCTCTCTTCCCCCCTCTCTAACCCATACCCTCTTCTCCTCTCAAACCATACCCTCCTTCTCCTCTCTAAACCCCAAACCCCTTTTTCCCTTTCTAACCCAAACCCCTCTTTCCTCCCCTCAACCCCTCCTTTTTCCCCCTCCCCCTCTAACCCATACCTCTCTTCTTCCCTCTCTAATCCATACCCCCCTTTTTCTCCTTTCTAACCTATACCTCTCCCCTCTCTAAAACCCAAAACCCTCTCTTCTTTCCCCTCTAACCATACCTATCCTCCCCCCCTCTCTAATCCTACCTCTCTTTTCCCTTTTTAAACCCTACCTCTTCCCCCTTTCCCCCCTCTAACCCCTAAACCCCCTCTTTCCCCTTTTTTTTCCCCCCTCTAAAAACCCCTCCCCCTCTTTTCCTCCTAATCCATACCCTCCTTCCCTCTCTAATCCATCCCTCTTTTTTCTCCTTTCTAAAACCCATACCTCCTTTCCCCCTTTTAAAACCCCTAAACCCCTCTTCTCCTCTAAACCCCCCTTTCTTCTCCCCTATAACCCATACCCCCCTCCTTTTCCTCTCAAAGACACCCATACCTCTCTTACTCCTCTATAACCCTATACCTCTCTTCTCCTTCCTCTCGAACCCCATGACCTCTCTTCTCCTTTCTAACCCATACCCTCGCTTCTCCGCTCGAATCCATGATCTCTCTAATCCATACCTCCTCTGCTTCCTTCCCTCTAATCCATACCTATCTTGCTCCTCTCTAATCCATACCATCTATTCCTCCTCCGTTCTAAAACCCCATACCGCTCTTCTCCTCTCTAACCCATATACCTCTCTTCTCATCTCTCTAACCCCATACCAGCTCTTCTCCTCTCTAATCCATAACTCTCTGCCTCCTTTTCTAACCCATACCCTCTCTTTTCCTCTCTAAACCCATAACTCTTCTACTCTCTAAACTAACCCTACCTCTCTTCTCCTCTCTAAATCCATACCTCCTTCTCCTCTCTAACCATACCTCGCTTCTCCTTTTCTAACCCATACCTACGCTTCTCCTCTCTACCCATACCTCTCTTCTCCTCTCTAATCCATACCTCTCTTCTCCTTTCAACCATACCTATTTTCTCCCTCTACCCCATACCTCTCTCTCCGCGTCTAACCCATAAATCCACCTTGCCTTTCTGCTCCCTCTAATCCATACCTCTCTTCTCCACCTCTCTAACCCATACCTCTCGTCGCCGTTCCGAACCCATACCTTCTCTTCTCCGCTCTAACCCCTACCATCCGTCTCTCCTCCGTCCATACCTCTCTTCTCCTTTCTAACCCATACCTCTCTTCTCCTCTATAACCCATACCTCTCTTCTCCTTTCTAACCCATACCTCTCTTCTCCTCTCTAACTCCTAACATTCTTTTACTAACCACTACCAATACAAACGACCTTCTCCTATGTACTGCATATCCCCAGGTTATTATCTTGTAATGAGACCACTATTCTCTTCTGATCACCAGAACATCCTTATCTAACGTCTACCAGAGAAATGATGTAGAGTACCAGTCAAATGTTTGGACACAACTACTCATTCAAGGGTTTTTCTTTATTTGTACTATTTTTTACATTGTAGAATAATAGTGAAGACATCAGAACTATGAAATAACACATATGGAATCATGTAGTAAACAAAAAAAGTGTTAAATAAATCTAAATATATTTTATATTTGAGATTCTTCAAATAGCCACCCTTTGCCTTGATGACAGATTTGCACAATCTTGGCATTCTCTTAACCAGCTTCATGAGGTAGTCACCTGGAATGCATTTCAATTAACAGGTATGCCTTCTTAAAAGTTAATTTGTGGAATTTCTTTCCTTCTTAATGCGTTTGAGCCAATCAGTTGTGTTGTGACAAGGATAGCCCTATTTGGTAAAACACCAAGTCCATATTATGGCAAGAACAGCTCAAATAAGCAAAGAGAAATGACAGTCCATTATTACTTTAAGACATGAAGGTCTGTCAAGACTTCCGCCGAGGCTGCCCCCCCCTCCTGGTTCAGGCAGGCTTCGGCATTCGTTGTCACCGGAGTACTAGCTACTGCCGATACCATTCTCATCACTCCACTTGTCATGTCTTGTCAATCACACACACCTGGTGCTCATTCCCCTAAATAGTATGTGTATAAGTGTTCCCTCTGTTCCCCTTGTCTTTGTGAGTGATTGTTTTGTTGTGAGAGCATGTAGCTCGGTTGACCTACATTTCACTGTGTTATTGCCAAGGTGGATGTTTTCCCTTGTACAGTTTCGTTTGACGCTTGGGGCGTTTGATTTATGCAAAAGGATTCAACTCTGGACTTCGGTATTTTACCTCCTGCGCCTGACTCCTTCTTTCACACCTCGTCACAAGGTCAGTCAATACGAAAAATGTCAAGAACTTTGAAAGTTTCTTCAAGTGCAGTCACAAAGACCATCAAGTGCTATGATGAAACTGGCTCTCATGAGGACGACCACAGGAATGGAAGACCCAGAGTTATCTCTGCTGCAGAGGATAAGTTCATTAGAAATCAGAAATTGCAGCCCAAATAAATGCTTCACAGAGTTCAAGTCACAGACACATCTCAACATCAACTGTTCAGAGGGGACTGTGTGAATCAGGTATTCATGGTTGAATTGCTGCAAAGAAACAACTGCTAAAGGACACCAATAAGAAGAAGAGACCTGCTTGGGCCAAGAAACACGAGCAATGGACATTAGACAGGTGGAAATGTGTCCTTTGGTCTGGAGTCCAAATTCCAGATTTTTGGTTACAACTGCCGTGGCTTTGTGAGACGCGGTGTGGGTGAATGGATGATCTCTGCATGTGTATTTCCCACCATAAAGCATGGAGGAGGAGGTGTTATGGTGTGGGGGTGCTTTGCTGGTGACAATGTTATTTAGAATTCAAGGCACACTTAACCAGCATGGCTACCACAGCATTCTGCAGCGATATGCCATCCCATCTGGTTTGGGCTTAGTGGGACTATCATTTGTTTTTCAACAGGACAATGACCCAACACACCTCCAGGCTGTGTAAGGGCTATTTTACCAAGAAGGAGAGTGATGGAGTGCTGCATCAGATGACCTGGCCTCCACAATCCCCCGACCTCAACCCAATTGAGATGGTTTGGGATGAGTCGGACGGCAGAGTGAAGGAAAAGCAGCCAACAATTGCTCAGCACATGTGGGAACTCCTTCAAGACTGTTGGAAAAGCATTCCAGGTGAAGCTGGTTGAGAGAATGCCAAGCTTGTGCAAAGCTGTCATCAAGGCAAAGGATGGCTATTTGAAGAATCTCAAATATAAAATATATTTTGATTTGTTTAACACCTTTTTGGTTACTACATGATTCCATATGTGTTATTTCATAGTTTTGATGTCTTCACTATTATTCTACAATGTAAAAAATTGTAAAAATAAATAAAAACCCTTGAATGAGTAGGTGTGTCCAAACTTTTGACTGGTACTGTATGTAGGGAATGTATGTATGTAGAACGTATGTCATGTAAGTCAAACAAATGGTAGTAGCAGCAGCCAGTTAGATGAAGGGAGGAAATTGATTTAGTTTTGGAGCATGGGAGTGTCCCATATGGCACCCCATTCCCTATTTAGTCCACTACTTCTGACCAGAGCCCGGGTCAAAAGTAGTGCACTATATAGGGCATATGGTGCTATTTGGGATGAAGCCCATGAAAATAGGTCACATTGTGGAAACAACACCTGAATAAGCGCAAATTCAATAGGAGAGCATTTGATATTTTTGTGAAATAGAGGAATTATGAAAGTATATTTCTCTAGTGTGTATGTTTTAGCAGAAGTGAACATTTATATTGCTGTGTGTGTGTTGCTACAGTCTTGATTATGTATATACTGTATGACTGCTGTGTGTGACTAACTGTGTACATCCCAAATGGCACCCTATTCCCTATCTAGTGCACTGCTTTTGACCAGGGCCAATAGGGCTCTGGTCAAAAGTAGTGCACTACATAGGGTATAGGGTGCCATTTTGGGATGCAGACACTGTGTAGCCTTACGAAAGTCTCTATCTGCCACGGTGGTATGATGCTGGTGTGTGTGTTATCACTAAGTGTGGGGAAATGTATAGGTCTATCTCCTGCTCTGACATGGCGGTGTGTGAGACTCACCAGTAGTGGAGGAGATGTTGACGTCTATGCTGATCTCAGGTATGCCCCCTCCCTTCAGCGCAGCCACACAGGTGTAGGTGCCAAAGTCAGTGAACTTCAGGTCGATGATGTCCAGGTTGGTGGTGCCAGGGGAGGTGTCAGGGTCCGTCTGGGTGATCACCATTCGCTCAGAGCTACGCAGGGCGCGCCCATTCTTCAGCCAACCAAACGTCAGCTCCTCAGGGGGCGTGGCCTCCACCTGGAAGGAGCGGAGAGTTGAGTATATGTGTGAAAAGGGGATGGTGTGTGTGTGTGTGTGTTTCTGTGTGTTTGAGTGTATGTGTGTTTGTGTGTGTGTGTGCATACCTGGCAGGAAATCTTGACCTCACGGCCGATCTGGATGTTGTCGTCGTTGTGGTAGGGATCAGGGGTGATCCAGAAACGACCCTTCTTCATCGCTGCAGCAAGAACGCACACAGACACACCACAACAAGGAAGAGAGTTTCAAGGTCTGTGTGTGTTTATGTGTCAACCACAGGGGTGATTCCAAATGGCCCTTTACATTTACATTTACATTTTAGTCATTTAGCAGACGCTCTTATCCAGAGCGACTTACAGGAGCAATTAGGGTTAAGTGCCTTGCTCAAGGGCACATCGACAGATTTTTCACCTAGTCGACTTGGGGATTAGAACCAGCGACCTTTCGGTTACTGGCACAACGCTCTTAACCACTAAGCTACCTGCCGCCCATACTTTGCCCTGTAGACAGAACATACACTTAAAGGTGTTTTTCTGCTATTTGCAAAACAATAACAGATAAAATAATTCTGCTGTCCATTTGTTGAGAAGGGAAATGTGTATTTTTGCTTTTCCACAAGTTTGAGACAACAAACACACCAACTAAGAGGTCAGAGGCAACAAGGGGTCAGCGGCAGTGCAAAACAATTTAAAGGGGAGCTGTAAATGCCTTGGAAATTGATTTTGAATGGGACGTCAAATTGTAGAGTAGCAAACTCTCTGCTGGCTGACCAGATTGAAATATGTTTGTCTGAGATTCACTTTATCCAATCACAGTCTGTCTGAGATGTGGTTCATCCAATCACACAAGTGTTGTATTCACTGATTGGAGAGGAAGTCATTTTACGTACAAACACATGTACACGCGCGCATGCACACACACACACACACACACACACACACATGCACACACACACACACACACACACACACACACACACACACACACACACACACACACACACACACACACACACACACATAGACACACACACACACAAACACACACTTACACACACAGACACACAGTGAAAACAGAAAGCTGAATGTTTTACAAATATAAATGGAAAGATCTTTTATTGTTAATCCATTTTAGTTTCCAAACACCATCAGCAAACCCAGCTCTTCAGAGAGAAAAGAAGAGAGGGCTGATTTCATTATAATGCATGTTGCAATGTTTCCCAACGCTGCTGCTGTACAATTCATCTCGTTTGCGCAAAAAATAAACTGACGGTTCGACAGAAATCTTTTCATCTAGCAATTCCCTGGCGACATTATCATATTCAGTTTGGCAAAAAATGAAAATGAAAACAAAACCTGCATGTCAGATTCAAACACAGGAAATTGAATGTGCAAAACATTGCGATGCTGAAGCCTAACAGAGGGAGGGAGGGAGGGAGGGAGGCAGGGAGCACAGAGGAAAAGAGAGTGACAGACACCTACACACTAAGAAACCAGAGTGTATGTTTCAAACCAATGTCAGATTGTTCAGACAAATGTTGGATTTATGGCAGGGTAGGTTCCTGCAAGACTTAGATCACTGATAATTTATCTTCACAAATGTGGTTCTGTCATATACATTTCTCTCCGGAGCAGATTTAGGACTGTTTACTTTTCAATGTTTTTTATTGGACTTGTTTGTTATTTCACTGTACTGTTGAGCGGTAAAAGTAAGCATTTCATTGCACCGTTTACACCCCACTGTATCCTGTGTATATGACGAATAAACTTTGATTCGATTTGTATCTGTAACAAGTATAAAAATATAATAACAACATATTATTATTACTTTTAGTCTGCTTTTTACCTTTACAGGAAGAAGCAGGTGTAAATGAGCACTCCTGAGTGGCGCAGTGGTCTAAGGCACTGCATCGCAGTGCTAACTGTGCCACTAGAGATCCTGGGTAGGGGAGGGAATGGCCGGCAGGGATGTAGCTCAGTTGATAGAGCATGGCGTTTGCAACGCCAGGGTTGTGGGTTCGATTCCCACGGGGGGCCAGTATAAAAAAAATATATATATATATGTGTTCACTAACTGTAAGTCGCTCTGGATAAGAGCGTCTGCTAAATGACTAAAATGTAAATGTAAATATATGATATGGAAACAGTGGTAATAAGTTACAACACAGCATGGCTCAACAGTGACCTTCACTATTAAAACATCAGGTATTAAGGACAAGCCACATCCCTCCTCCGTCTGTACGCTCTCAATAGAACACCCTACTATGTAATCATGTTGGAAATTCAATTTTCCTGAGAGGTAATAGGATACAATAGAGTAATAACGTTGGACATATATGTATATTTTTATGTACACAAAGGTGGAAACAGTTATACAACCAATTGAACCAGTGTTCATGGAGTACAGATTTGTTCCAATAGTACATAAAAGCACATATACATATATATATATACATATATATATATATATATATATATATATATATATACAGTGAGGGAAAAAAGTATTTGATCCCCTGCTGATTTTGTACATTTGCCCACTGACAAAGAAATGATCAGTCTATAATTTTAATGGTAGGTTTATTTGAACAGTGAGAGACAGAATAACAACAAAATAAATCCAGAAAAACACATTTAAAAAATGTTATAAATTGATTTGCATTTTAATGAGGGAAATAAGTATTTAACCCCCTCTCAATCAGAAAGATTTCTGGCTCCCAGGTGTCTTTTATACAGGTAACGAGCTGAGATTAGGAGCACACTCTTAAAGGGAGTGCTCCTAATCTCAGCTTGTTACCTGTATAAAAGACACTGTCCAGAATCAATCATCTTCATACATGAGAAAGAACCAAGTAAGTGCCAAATCATTGAACTCAGGCGATGAATGTCCAGGTTGGTGGTGCCAGGGGAGGTTGTCAGTGTTCCGTCTGGGTATCACGCATTCGCTCAGAGCTACGCAGGGGCGCCCATTCTTCAGCCAACCAACTTCGCGCTTCAGGGTCGTGGCTCCACCTGGAAGGGCGAAGTTTATATATGTGTGAAAGGGGATGGGTGTGTGTGTGTGTGTTTTCTGTGTGTTTGGTGTAGGTGTGTTTTGTTTGTCATCCCTGGCAGGAAATCTGTGGACCTCCGGCCGATCTGGATTTTGTCGTCGTTGTGGTAGATCAGGGTGATCCAAAACGACCCTTCTTCATCGCTGCATCAAGACGCAACAGACACACCACAACAAGGAAGAGAGTTTTCAGTCTGGTGTTGTTTTTATGTCCAACCACAGGGTGCTTGCCAATGGCCCTTTACCTATTACATTTACATTGTAGTCATTATAGCAACCTCTTATCCAGAGCGCTTCACAGTAGCATTAGGGCTTGAGTGCCTTGCTCAAGGGCACATCGACAGATTTTTTCACCTAGTCGACTTGGGATTAGAACCACGACCTTCGTTTACTGGCCACACAGCTCTTAACCACTAAGCTACCACCTGCCGCCCCATACTTTTGCCCTGTAGACAGAACCATCACTAAGGTGTTTTTTGCTATTTGCAAAACAATAACAGATAAATAATTCTGCGTCCCATTGTTGAGAAGGGAAATGTGGATTTTTGCTTTTCCACAAGTTTGGAGACAACAAACACAACCAAGCTAAGAGGTCAAGCAACAAGGGGGTCGCGGCAGTGCAAACAATTTAAGGGTGAGCTGGTGAAATGCCTTGGAAATTGATTTGACTGGGACTCAAATTGTAGAGTAGCAAACTCCTGCTGGCTGACCTTCTTGAAATAGTTGGTCTGAGATTCACTTTATCCAATCACAGTCTGTCTGCGATTGTTCATCCACAGCACACAATGTTGTTTCACTGATTGGAGAGGACGTCATTTTAACGTACAAAACATGTACACGGCGCATGCACACCACACCACACACACACACACACACATTCACACAAAACACACACCACACACACACACCACCCACACATCACACACACACCACACACACACACCACACACACACACACACACATAGACACACACACCATCCCACAAACACTTACACCCACAGTACACACATGAAAACAGAAAGCTGAATGTTTTCACAATATAAATGGAAAGATCTTTTTATTGTTTAATAATCCATTTAGTTTCCAAACACCATCAGCAAACCCTCTCTTTCAGGAGAAAAAGGAGGGCTGATTTCCATTATACTGCATGTTGCAAAATTTTTTCCCAACGCTGGCTGCTGTACATTCATCTCGTTGCGCAAAAATAAACTGACGGTTCCACAGAACTCTTTTCATCTAAGCAATTCATTCCCTGGCGACATACTCATATTCAGTTTGGCAAAAATGAAACTGAAAACAAACTGCATGTCAGATTCAAACACAGGAAATTGAATTCAAAACATTGCGATGCTGAAAGCCTAACATAGGGATGGAGGGGAGGGAGGGAGGCAGGGAGCACAGAGGACAGAGAGTGACAGACCCTCCACACTAAGAAACCAGAGTGTATGTTTCAACCAATGTCAGATTGTATCCTGACTCGTCTCAGACAAATGTTTGGATTTATGGCAAGGGTAGTTTCCTGCAAGCTTAGATCACTGATAATTTATCTTCACAAATGTGGTATCTGTCATATTACATTTCTCTCCGGAGCAGATTTGACGGTTTACTTTCAATGTTTTTTATGGACTTGTTTTGTATATTTCACTGTACTGTTGATCGTAAATAGTAAGCATTTCAATTGGCAACCGTTTTACAACCCCACCACTGTATCCTTTGTATTGACGAATAACTTTGCTTCGAGTGTATCTGTAACACGTAAAAAGATAATACAACATATTATCTATTACTTTAGTCTGCTTTTTACTTTAACAGAATAAGCAGGTGGTAAATGAGCACGCCTGAAGTGCGCAGTGGTCTACGGCACTGCATCGCATTGCTAACTGTGGCACGAGAGATCCTGGTAGGGGAGGGAATGGCCGGCAGGGATGTCGCTCAGTTGATAGGAGCAATGGCTTTCAACGCCAGGGTTGTGGTTCGATTCCCACGGGGGCCATATAAAAAATATATATATATTATGTGGTTCACTAACTGTAAGTCCGCTCTGGATAAGAGCGTCTGCTAAAATCCCACAAAAATGTAAATGTAAGATCATATATCTGGACACATGGTAATAAGTTACAACACAGCATGGCTCACCAGATCCCT